ACTTTACTACTGATGAGCTGCATGTTGCATGACAACTCTTGCGAATAGCTTCACTTCTAACATGCCCCAAGCTATCTGGTTGATGAGGATAAATCGTCTCAAGAGGATTTTACAAAAGACCCGGCCTTCACCATGCTCTGGTGTCTTCAAATTCTTAGAGGAATTCATCAAATCTCGACGTGATTGCCCCGACTTAACTGTAGTTGGCACAACAAAATCTTCAAATTTTGCCCCAAAAGAGTAAACAAGTTGGGAAAGCATTAATTAAGAGAAGCAACATGTCCGTGCTTAAGGTCTTCAGGTGACATGCCCCTGCATATGATTTTGTTCTTGAAATAATTCGCCAATTGCTCAACAGAGCTTCAGGCCTTAAGAATAGACTCATCACTGGTGCTTATATGTGAGTTTCCTTGATATCAAACAAATGTTTTGCAGTTAGAAAATTTTATTATGAGAATGAAAATTCTAATGCAACAGTTATGTAAGTCTTGAAGATTTTGAAAAGATATCGCACAAATTTTGCGAGTTAGAGCATCATTTATTTTTGTATAGGAAAAACATGTGATACCAACATAACTATTTAGAACATTTATGGGAGTCAGGAACACTATCTCATTGAAGTATGCTTTCAAAATAATCTTGCTTCAATTAGGACTTTTGAAGGTTGTAACGTGGTCTGGTTCATGGTTTTTAGAAAAAAGATTTTAAGGCTCAAAATATTTGGTGCCCACCCCCTTCATGATGTTCTCCAATCCTATGTTCAGTTAATTCAACATGAGTGTTCATCTCTCAAAAGGATTTTGTGACGGTCAAGGAAACGACGAGGCTTTTGGAGTAGAAACCACCCTCATGTCTTCGTGTTTGTAGTCACCAATTTGTTCTTTGCTGAGGACTTTTCTTTGCAGTCCTTTTCTTTGCGATTTTATTTTCCCTAACTTTTTCCTGAACTAATTCTTTTGAATTGATAGTCCAGCGGGATGCCTTAATTTTGCCTAAGTCACACGTTTTCATGTTTTTTGACTTAGCATGCTTTTTCTTTTTCTCGATTTTTGACTTTTTGAACAAAATGTGTGACATTAGCTTATATTTGCTTGTTGAGAAGATTGTGATTGCCTCGTTTCTTGATGAATGAGGGATAACATTATGATTCCACATCTTCTGGCTTCATTATACATGAAAGATAACCCTCGTAGTTTCTCTTCAAAAAACATCTTCCTTATGAATTTTGAACACTCAGTCAGATTAACTAAAAACTACCCTGCCCCAGGTTAAAATTCAAGGTTTTTTCGTATAGAAAAGAAACTTCTACTTCAAAGGCTCAAAAGGGGTTAGTAAGGGATTATCTTCCTTATATCTCCGGTGTTTAGGGATTTGAAACAATGCCTGTACATCATCAGCAAGATTTTATCCAAAAGCAAACAACCAGAGATTTTGTGTTCTTTAGATCATCATCCTCCCTTCAATCTCTGCCTAGGCAAGAGAATGGGCAACAAGTTGGTATCATAATGCAAAAAGAAATTTAAAATTTGAAAACAAATATGAGTGAAACGAATGAATTTCCTCAAGACAAACATACTCATTGTATTAAGATAATCATACAGATGCAAACAAGTTCTTACATGCAAACAATGTTTTGATAAACAAGAAAAATTACAAAAAGCAGAAATAAGTTAATGATCTGGGAAGGCTTTCCATCTGGACTTGCATTACCGAAAACATCCTTCAAAAATCAAAGTCACCATCAATCGTGTTTACTCTTCGGCGCATGCTTGATTTGAACTTTAAAACCAACGTCCTTGAATGGCAAGATACCACTTCTGACCAACTTCTGAACCTCAATCTTCAAAGCAAAGCAACCCTCCAAGTCATGCCCAGGAGCACCTTGATGAAAGGTACAAGCCAAATCAGCTTTGTAGTACCAATGTATCTTCTCAGGAACCTTCGGTGGAGGTCGGGTCTGAACCAAATTCCTCTGCATCAGGATAGGGAACAACTCTGTATAGGTAATTGGAATTGGATCAAACTGGGTTTTCCTCTGATTAGGAACTTGCTGATTCTGTTGATGAATAGGAGAAACGTGATGATTCTGACGATGATTATTTCTTCCTATGGTTCTCTTTTTGGAAAATTTATTATCAAACTTCTTCACACCATTAGCTGAGCTACCATCTTCATATGAACATCTCTTCCCGACATCCTCTTCTAGATGCACTCCCACATTCACCATGTCAGGAAAGTCAATAGGCGCATTCATTATCATCTTCTCATTAAAGAATGATTTCAGAGTTTCAGTGAAGACCTTTTCAATCACTTCTTCTTTCTTAGAAGGATTGACTTGGGCGGCAACCAAAATTTCGACCAAACCAGTTAAGTGCTCCATACTAGCTTTCAAAATAGTCATCTCTCTACGGAGTTCAGAAACCTCTTGCTTGATATTCTCCATTGTCCTCTTAGCGCGAGTGTTGTACTGGTGAGACCAAAGGAAAAATAAGACTCGGAAAAAGACCTTTGAAAGTGAAACAAAAAAAATGTAGAACGATGTATGATATGCAAAAGAGAGTTTTTATTTGATTTTCAAGGAACTCAAGATATTAAGTTGTAAACATCAAAGTATGAAGATAGAAGATGAATTTTAAATTGGCTCCAAACATTGATCAAGTTATCATCAAGATCAATCATCCATTTTGGTGGATTAGGGTTTTCGCCCTATCAACACCCAAGATCCATTGAGCTTGACGAAACTTGTGATGTTTACAAAGAAAGACCTCCAAATTCCTTCAAAGTCAAGTGAAAAGGGTTTTATGGATGCATGAATGCATGGCTATGAAACAACCACAAGCAAGGTCACAAATAAAGTCGAAAGGTTCAACTTCACGAGCATGGAGTCAAGGTAAGGAACACCCCCAAGGTATGTACTAACGGTTTAATCACACCTGTAGAACAAGGTTCTAAAAGTTCCCGGAGTCTACATTCCTCCTTCGGATATTACCAACGTCTTGATTACTCAATAATCAGCAATATTCTCAAGAGAAACTCATCCGAGCGTAGCATCGCGTAACAATTACTTCCGGATTACTCCGTTATAATCTCCGCGCTACACCTAAAAGGCCAAGATGGGTTAGGGTTCTACGGTTCCCAGCTTCTCTGGCTCCCGGGTCGAAAATAATAATGTCTTCCCGATTACTCGGTAAACAAATATTACGTTCAAAAGGGCCTTCCACTGAGTGGGGGATCTCATGCCTCCTTCTTCGGGATTACTCCCTCAAAGTTAACATGACTATACCGCCCGTCCTATTCCTAAGTGTAACTTAGTCCGGGTATAGGACTTGTCCTTTGTAAATATCATCAACACCCAAATAATCACAATATATACATATAATCAAACAATCAAATAATTATAAAACAGATAAAACAAATTAGGCTTAACCCACTTAGGGATGGACCAGCAAGAGGTCAATCTGTCCCCAGCAGAGTCGCCAATTCTGTAGCGGTGAAAATCGGAGATCAAGCTATTAATTAACTTGACTCACAAAAAGCAAGAGTCGCCACCGTGCTTTATTATTTCCAAGGGAAAAGGGAAAAGTGCGAAATAAAACCCTAAAATAGGCAATGTAAAATAATACTTAAAAGTAATGAAAATACAATGCGTTTTTAAAAGAGATTGAGAGTTCGGGGGTTGGTTATACAATGGGAAGGTATTAGCACCCAATGTATCTGCGGTACTCCGCAGGAACCTTTTGAAATGTCTGTTTTTGGTTAAAATTGTTTGTTTGATTAAAAATCGGTGTTGGAGAGATTTTGAAGATACGACGACCTAGTGTCGAAGTTTTGACTTAAAAGGTGTGAGTTTGAAAATGGAGTCTTTTGGGAAAATTATCTTAAGCATAATAGTAAACAAACAAAAAAATGAATGAGGATATTCACACGATTGGATGAGATGTGCTTGATGACGTGAAGTCAACAAATTTAATTCTTTCCCTTGGAGTTAATCATAAGTGGGTAGATCTAATATTCGAGTAAGAAATCATAAATAATTAAAATTCACGAGAAACGAACAAGGTAGATAACAAGATAAATTATAAGAAACTAAATGAATGGACAAAGAAGAATCATGAATAAAAGAAAAGTGAAAAAAAAATTATCTAAAACTAATTTGAAATTCTAAGGTTACTAAGTAAACTAGACTTAAATTCTAAAGTGTCTAACTAAATTAAATAAAATTTCGAAGTTATTAACTAAATTAAAACTCTAAAGTTACTAACAAAAGTTCGAAAGTTATTAAATTAAATCTAAAATAAGTTAACACTCTAATATTACTGAATTAGGTCTAAACTAAATTAATTCTAAGGTTGCTAAATTACATCTAAACTAGTTTAAGTATAAACTAAATTCATTATAAAATTACTAATTTAATCTAAACTATATTAATAATAGAATTGCTAACTTAAATCAAAACTAAATTAATTCTAAATTAAAGATTAAAATTCTAAGATTAAATTAAAATTCTAAAGTTATCAAAATATGTCTAAACTAATTGGAAGTTCTAAAGTTATAAAATAGATCTAAACAAATTAAAATTTTTAAATTATCAAAATATACCTAAACTAATTAAAGGTTCTAATATTACTAATTTATATCTAATTAAATTAAAATTCTAAAGTTGTTAATTATGATTCTAAATATTTTAAAATTATAAAACACATCTAAACTAATTAAGAAATTCCAAATTAATACTAAACTAATACTAAATATAAGCAAAATTATATAAGCAAAACTAAATGTAACATTACCAAAAGAAGTCATAATGTAAAAACACAAACCAGGAAATGAGCAAACTACATAGCTTGAAAAATGAAGAAATGGTTCAGATCAGCAAACTTGGCTACATCTATCATGCCATTGATGTCATCCGGACACTCCACAAACTGCAGATGCCTTTGTTTTCCCCGGGAGGACCCTGCACGACAATGACGAAAAGAGGAGCTTTACCGTAAGTGAGATCAATGATGGGAACATGAAGGCGGAACAACACCCATTAACTGATTATCACGAAGCTGAAGATCAAACAAATTAGTACAGTTAGTTAAATCAGGAATGGGACCAGTGAACTTGTTCTTCTGAAACCAAACTTGAGTCGAATGAAACATCGAAGAAAGCAAATCGAGAGAGCCAGTGAACCCGAAACCATCTTGCTGATTGTTGAGCCACAGGTTCTGAATCCCAGATACTGAGTTCGGCAAATCTCCGGTTAGGTTGTTGTAAACTAGACGAAGGTTCTGCAAAGTGAACAATGGAGAGAATATATCTGGCAGGGAACCCATAAGGTTCGTTTGACCAAGGTCGAGTTCAACGAGATTCAAAGACTGAGTCAACTCAGATGGAAAGCTCCATGGTTTAAGGTTGGTGTTTTGTTGTAACAGTAGCGATTGGCGGAGGAAGCTCTCCCAGCGATGAAATGGAGTGAAGGGAAATAGAGGGAGTGTTTGGATGAGTGAATGATTGTGAGTTGTAGGTGGAGCAGGTTCGGAACAAGACAGGCGGGTGGTGTTCGATGATGTCGCTGAAGTTTGATAGTAGTGAGGAAGGTTGATGGATTGGAGAGTGGAGTGAACACTTGGTGTTGCATCTGCGCAGCGTTTCCAATTGGTAAAGGCATCTGAAGAGATGTTGTTGACATACTACGAGGTTGAATCTGGGGATTAGGAACAACAAAGTGTACAGGCGCATGTGACTGGTGATATGGCATTGCCATTGACATCTCAGTTATAGGAATAACAGAAGGCTTATGCATCAAGCTTGGTGAAGGTAAATGTGAAGACTGAGTATCCTTTTTTTTTGCCCTTAAACCAGTATGAGTCTCCCCACCCTTAGATTGGTCGACGATACCTGTATCCTTATTAGCTGGCAGTGGCTTTGGAACAGGAAGCTGCTTTGGAACGGGAGGTGTCGGCACATAAGGCATGGGTCTTGAAGAATCATGATGAGCCTGATCATGCTTCTGCTCATCTATATTAGGAGGAACCGAACTTGTGCGAGCAGGAATAGTCATCGCACTCATAATGCCAGGACTAATAGATCCAAATTGGAAAGGGAATGCTTTTGTATCAAATCGTCAACCTTCTGGTACAACAACTTAACGTCAAGAGGTGTTGAAGCTGCTTCTTGAGGAAAAGCAATACAAATCATTCTCAACAGTGAGCAAAAAGACTTGCCAGCATCTAAAAGTTTATGCTTGAAACATGGTTCAAGAATTTGAGAAATCCGGTTAATGTTGTTTCTTATGAACAAGTGAGGCTGTTTCTCTAAAACTTTGTTCATGACATCCAAACCCCGTGCCAGCGCAGTGGGAGGGTCTTTTGCTTGATAGTGAGAGGAAAGTGAGTTTGTGTTTATGAAAAATGATGGATAATGCAGATTGAAAGTGGACGGTAGGTGCTGTGAGTGAAAATTGGAATGGTGAGAGAATAAAGGAAATTTAGTAAAGGTTGTGTTTTTTGTTTACTGTGTTGTTTTTGTTGTTTTTTTCACAAAGAAAAGGAAGACTATTTAAATAGTCAGATGAAGAGAAAAAATGATTTCAGCTTGCAATCATATCCGTCCATTATTTTCATTAATCCTGCACAACTTCTATCAACCAATTAGAAAAAAGAATAGTTTAACAAAAAAATTAATGATTAAAAATCCCTCTAAAAATAAAAATGACTTAAAAACCTGAAAGTGTACAAATTAATGTAATTTAAAATATATTTTTTGAATTTTTCTGAATACAAAATAAAGACCCAAAATGACCAAAAATGATAAAAAACGGACAAAAATTTATCCGAAAAAATAAAATGAACACATTAAAATAATCTACATGTCACAAAGATTAAAGAAAAAATATTCAAGAAGTCGAAAATCAAAAATAAAATAATAATAAAAATATCAGACTAAACAGACGTTTAAGGTTAAAAACGAGACTTCGAACTATACCGAAAAAATAAAGCAAGCATACCGTCATAATTTACGCGAAGCGCAGATTCATAAAATGATCGGTAAAAAGGTGAAAACTTGAAATATTTTTCTCGCTAATTTTTCGTACATTGTTGAATCGCTTTTAACAGTTTGTCTATAAAACCAAAATATTTTTATTATCAACATATAAACAACTTGGAGCAATGCAACAAATGAGTAAAGAGATCAAAATGAATGAAGTGAAATGTCGGGTATTTTACAACTGAAAGACGATGCAAACTTTGATTTAAACTGACTTTTCTGGTCAACTTAAATACGACTAATGATGCAAAATGTGATGAATGAAGATATTTACTAATGATCGTGACCAAATAACAAAGTATGATATGAAAGAGCGACTAAAACATATTAGGGGCGAAATTAAGGGTGCAACGGTTGTGCCTTGATGAATCAGTCTTCGAGAATCTGCAATCAACCGTACTTCGGCTTGGGAGACTCAAAACCTTAATTGAGGCGCGACACCTGATGCTCTTGATTCAGACCTGTCTCTGCACATGAAGCAAAAGAAGACATGAACATACACCTTTGTATGGATTAGAAATTAGTGATACATAGGCTAAAAATGTTCAAAACACTTGACAATCTTCGCATAGTCGAAGCTCAAAGGTGAGACGTTAAAACCGACTGTATTTCGTGAGCTTGACTTATCTTAAAAAATGCAAAAATAAAAATGGGATCTTAGGTCAAAAATTGGGGTACAACACCTAGCACACACCCCATTGAATTGTCTAGCATTGTCAAGTATAATATCAAAGGTCTTCTTTCAACTGGAGGAATCAGAATTGGAGGTTCTTGAAGGTATTCTTTGATTCTTTCGAAAGCGATCTGGCATTCATCATTCCACTTTACCACTTGATCTTTCTTCAGAAGCTTGAAAATTGGCTCACAAGTAGCAGTCAGATGTGAAATGAACCTGGAGATGTAATTCAGACGTCCCAGGAAACCTCTAACTTCCTTCTCTGTGCAGGGAACCAGCATCTCTTGTATGGCCTTTACCTTCGCAGGGTCTACCTGAATACCCTTCTCACTGACGATGAAACCTAGAAGCTTGCCAGACCTTACCCCGAAGGTACATTTGTTCGGATTCAACCTCAGCTTATATGTCTTCAACCTGTCGAACAACTTTTGGAGATGATCAAGGTGCTCTTACTCAGTCTGAGACCTGGCTATCATATCCTCAACATAAACTTTGATCTCATGGTGGATCATGTCGTGGAATAAAGCGACCATGGCGCGCTGATAGGTTTCCCCAACATTCTTCAACCCAAAAGGCATCACCTTGTAGCAGAAGGTGCCCCACTGTGTGACGAAAGTTGTCTTCTCCATGTCTTCAGGAGCCATCTTGATTTGGTTGTAGCCCGAGAAACCATCCATGAAGGAGAAGATTTTATGATGCGCGGTGTTGTCGACCAGAACATCGATATGAGGAAGTGGGAAGTCATCCTTGGGGCTTTCCCTGTTCAGATCTCTTTAATCAACACACATCCGTACCTTACAGTAATTCTTAGGTACCGTAAAAACGTTAGCAACCCATTATGGATACGAAGTGACAGCCAAGAATCCTGCATCGAACTGTTTCATGACCTCTGCCTTGATTTTCTCTAACATTTCAAGACACAAACGACGGACCTTCTACTTAACCGGAGGACAGTCTTCTTTAGTCGGAGGGCGGTGTACCATAATATCAGTGTCTAAATCAGGAATGTCTTTGTAGGACTAGGCGATGATCTTAACATAGTCGTGCAACATCTGTATCAATCTCTGTTTGACGCTAGGCTCCAGATTTGCACCTATTTTAACCTCTTTTCTGTCTTCCTCAGTACCCAAATTCACTGTCTCAACTGGCTCTTCATGAGGTTGTATGGCCCTTTCTTCCTGTTGTAGTAGTCTAGCAAGTTCTCCGGGCACCTCATAATCATCCTCACCTTTGTCCTCGGCTTGGTTGATAGGATTTTTGAAGTCATAACTGGAAATAGAAGAGCTGTTATCAATGGGATCCGGAGTGGATATGGATCTGCATTATGATACGTGAGTGTGTGTAAGAGAAATAGCTGATTTGATGATGTAAAAACAGAAAAGAAAAACAGAGAGCGCGAAATTTGTATGCCAGAAACGTCCAATGCTTTATTAATGATTATGAAATGACAGATAATAGCCCTCACAAGCAAAGCCCAGGTGCCTCGGGCAAGGCACCAGGCCATAAAGTTTCACATTGTTTATTACAAATCTTAAAACAAATAAGTCAATTACTGCGGAATAAAAGAAACAGGTATGAAGTCCCTAGCCATCCAATTACTCGGTCCACCATTGGTAGTCGGGTAGATCCAGCTGTCAATGTCGAGTCCTTTTCACTGTCTTCAATGGAGTTTATCCCACGATTGTTGATGCGTAGGGGAGGTCCTCCAGCCCGAGCGCGTCTAACAGCCCTTTGAGCCCTTGTAGTAAAGCCAAAACCAAATTTGTCAGTTTTATGAGTGAAATCAGGGAGCTGACCCCAATTAGCACACCCACCTTCTTCAACCACGGTTCTGGCCTCCTTGAGAGAAGCCATCTTCAAAGGAGGTTTGTTGCTAGCAGTTTCTATCGATGCCAAGATCTGAGGGACCTCTTCAAAATTCTGACAAGGAGTTTCTATGAATTCCCCGTCCATCTCTACGTAGCGGAAGGAGTTGAGGTGACTCACCATATATTCTTCTTCACCCCGCACTGTGAAAATCTTTCCTTTCACCTGATACTTCAGCATTTGGTGGAGTGTGGAGGTGACTGCCCCAGCCTCATGGATCCAAGGACAACCCAGCAAACAAGAATATGATGGCATGATATCCATCACATAGAAAGTGGACCCAAAAGTATGAGAACCTAGTTTGACAGGGATGTCCACCTCCCCGTGCACCATTCTCTTCGACCCATCAAAAGCCCTAACCACAATGTTACTAGGCTTTAGAGTTAAACCCTCACAATCCAACCGGTCTAATGCCTTCTTCGACAGAACATTCAGTGAAGACCCAGTATCTACCAGCACATGAGCCATAGTAGTTCCCCTACATTCAATCAAGACATGCAGAGCATCATTATGTTTCCTTCCGTTCAGGGTCAAATCCGCATCTGAAAAACCTAGCCCATTATCAGCAGTCAGGCTGGCCACACAATCTTTGAACTGATCAGCTGAAGTTTCCTGCTGCACATGTGAAGTTTTGAGAAATGCAATCAAAGCCTTCGCATGGGCTTCAGAATACAACAACAGAGACAACATGGATATCTTTGATGGGGTCTACCCCAGCTGCTTGACCATGTTGCAGTCGCTCTTCTTAATGATTTTCAGTATCTCCTCCATTTCTTGCTTAGAGGCTTCCACAACGATTTTCTTAGGCACCTCCGTCTGGGCATGCTCACCTACAACCTCTTTGTCGCGGGTATCAGATGATTCTCCAATTGGAGTAAGAACAGGAACAATAGTTGATGTAATAGCAGGAACAGCAGATGAATGACAATGGGCTTGCTGACAGTCTTATGGGAAATCTCGGGAGAGAAAACCCTTCCACTTCGGGTAACTTTGTTGGTTCCGACAATGTTACCAATATTAGGATCAACCTCTTCGTCTTTAAAGTCTTGTTTGATTCCATGGTAGTACATATCGGCACCATAATGCCAGGGGACAACTTTATCTGAGACATACGGGACAGGACCAGGAACAGTAATCATCAGCGGAGCAATTCTTGGAGCAGGTGTAATCCTAACAGGTCTTCTCGAGGAAACCTTGGAAGGATTAGCGGAAATGGTTATAATGGCAATGTCTTCAATTGGAACAACAGGAATCACATTTTTCTCAAACAGAATCTCTTTGCTATCTATCAGGCGTTGAACACCTAACTTCAGCAAACGGCAACCAGAAGGTAGAAGCAAACACATGCGATAACCTTCACCATAACCCGGAAATAAATCGGCCAACAACAAATTCTTCTTGACAGTCATGAGAGGAGTAGAAACTTCATTGATAGAGGTAATAAACAAATCAATATCAATAGCATTAACTCC